TTAAGGCTGGTATACACGGTAAGGAAATCCTTTGAGGATTAACCGTGATTTTTTTTTCTATCTATCCATTTTTAAATAAAAATAATTCTTTATACGCTGGGAGATATTTTAATAAGTTTTGTAAATTACTATGTTCGATCCAGCCAGTTATATCCGAGTTTTTTTCGTCTGTTAAGCACATCCTTTGAGGATTTCCTTACCGTGTATACCAGCCTTTAGCGTGCGTTTCCATGACGTACCCTAACTGTCTACCAAATTTTACCTCTTTAGGTTAAGCGGTTTGCTCTGGGCGATGATGAATCAGTCAGTGAGTCATTCAGTCAGTCAGGACAAGCAATTTTATATATTTAGATAATAAAAATGAAATTCTGTATTATCTGCATTCTGTGTAATTTTTAATCCAAATTTAAAGTGTCTGGAAGGAAAATATTCACCACTGTAAAACATGCAATTTTGAAGAATTTTGTTTTTATTTTTCATATTCCGACATAAAAATTTCATTTAATATCAATCAAATGAACGGATAGACCAAATTCATGTCAATTTGTTGGGAGTAGATTTTAAGTAGCGTTTATTTGGCGATTTAAAATTTTCTACACTCCAGAATGATTTTATTCCTAAATTACTTGTAATTACAATTTTTCTATGTATAAATATTTCAACGTATTATGTTTGAATTTCGTATATTTCATATCGATTGGTTTGTTTGTATACGGCAACGCGACACATGGGCGATCTGTTGAGAGGGATGACTTCCGGGAGAACTTTCTATGGGAGTTTCTATGCCCATAAGTGTTACAAATGGGAAATTCCACATGGGCTGGCCACGTGCAGATTTCTTGACTTTGACGAGTCGTGAACCCGTAACCAACTAATTACTAGTGTTCAGTGGTTTTATCCACTGTTGGACATATTTCTGTGTCAAATTAATGAATTTCTGTGACTACATTTCAATGATAACAGAGTCATTATTCGTGCGTTATTTTTACTCATTTATATAATTTCTGATATCTTCATCTGTATGAATTATTTGTACTTACACAAAAGTTTGACATATGTTGACTAGCATAATTTAATTTAAAAATATAAATATGCTGCGTAGCCTATATGAGTGTTTTCGACTTGATTCATTACTTTTGATAACGCTTCAAATACGTTTTACAAATCTTCGGACTCGATTTTCTCATTTTAAACGTCAATTCGCAATCACTGGCGGATTTAGCACTTGAGAGGCCCCAGGCGCAATTTAATTCTGACGCCCCCTCTAAATATTTTCACTACCCCTACATTCTACAGTGTGCATTCTACGTGCATGTTTTTTACTCTGGTAGGCACTATACCGGTGGTCCAAAAAGAGTGAGACACGGGTAAATAACATTGAAAATTAACCAATATAAAATTACAACTGCCTGGCTGTATTTAAAAGGTTACTGATGTTCAGACTGTATTATGAAAATCGAAACGCATTGGTACAAGAATTATTAAGTTTCAATAGGTAAAAGTGTTAAAAAGAAAAAAATCTAGTAATCCATGGATATAAAAACTAATTTATTTTTAAATTTACTACTGATACAATAAGCTATCTGGACTACTTACTCTTCGCGATATATTGAAATATTCGTGCAAAGATGTTTGGTGACCCACGAATGATATTGTGTCTACGATGATACGATCCTCCAAGTTGAACCGGGATAGCAATAAGAAGTGTTGAACGTATATACTCGCTGGATTAATGCCTTTTTGCCAAAGAAAGGCTTGAATCCAGGTGATGAATAGCTGTTGCCAGCGATGGAAAGCTAGACTGGGTACTGCCCAGATCAGATAGCATAGAGTTTGAGCCTTAGTGAGTGGCTCCATGTCTCCCTTCTCCAAACTTCTGTAGTCTCCCCCTCACGGAGAAACGCCGCCTCCGTATATAATGTACTGGAAACCGTCCGAAGAAGATTTAGTGAGATTCTCAAAGCAGAATTTAAGATGGGCGTGATGCGACTACATTGCACCCTTTAAAAGTGAGGTCCCAAATTTTGCAATTGGACTCAGGACAGTATACAATAAGCACAGTATATCCTTCTTTCTGATGCCATTGAAGTGGGGTGTGAAGTATTTTAAGAATAAGCTCGCTCGAGCGAGTTTGATACGTTATGTCAAAAGACTGTGCGAAGGCCGTTTTGAACTATGACGACGGTGCTATGAAGGCGACGGAAGATGCGGTAAAATTTGGAAGAGCAGAAAAAGCCCCATCAGTGCCGTCGTCTCTGTTGAGCCTGACATCGAAAGAGAGCATCTAACGAGGATTGTTTAATTTTCGGAATCTTTCCGGATTTAAAAATTATTTTTGTGAGAAAAATAAGAACTGGAATAATTATATTTTTGATTTCTGTGGCATGTCAATTCTATTAAATTTTAAAACAATTTCCGTAAGGATATACCGAATTCTGATTTTTTTCACGAATTTAATTTAAACACTAATTTTGCAATAGATATCGTTATCACGCGATACATTTTTCTCTATAAATACATGTATACTGTATATACTACAATTTTAAAACACGTCTTTCATACCGAAATTTATTTTCCTAATAATTTATAAAAAAATATTTTAAAATAAGTAATATTAATAATCAATTTTCTTCAACATTTATAACGTCTGATTTTACTCTATTTCCGAGCTGCCAACTTTGACCAAAAGATGTGTTGGTGTTGATGATGGCGGATATCGACGAAGTCGCTCGTAGGAGAGAGATCAGAAGACGAAAAATATTAGATAATTCCGAAGCTAGATGGATAAAAATTATGGGTCACGACAAAGAAGAACAGAAAGGTTAGTTTAGGAATAAAAAAACTCGTGTAATTTGCATAAATGACATTGTTGTAAGTTTATGTCGAAAGTGTTTAATCATCGATTTCTTAAAAATTTCAAGAAATTCTTAAATGGAATATTTTCACTTCATATAAACATATTGACATTTCATACTTCCTAATGTAATGATTTGAGCATTAATCGATTCATATACCAATGTTAATTTGTAATAATGTTACCGGTATATTTCTTAAGCTAATTGGCATTTATTGGAAATATGTCTGCAAGTTAAATGGCTAAAATTGTCTTTTGTAAAATTTATATTTTGTTTCTTACCGATATTAAATGCTTATAAAATTTATTTTCAGTTTGAATATTTTTTTTTATTAAAAAATTTGTAATTTTTTTTATTATGTTTTGAAGGACAACAACTTTGTTTATAAATATAATTAAAGGTTATTACTGATAACACTAAAATTTTTTTTATTAGTAGAAAACTGTTAATATGAATATCATAAAGAATATTTGTGATGTTTTAAATGCTTGTTTTTATTTACTAGGATTGCGTTTGTTATTTTTGATGCCCGCAAATTGAGTCGAGCGAGATGTATACTTAAATTGAAAATTTATGTATTATGTTTTGAATTAGAAGGAACGATAGCTGATTTTGGAAATTATTCTTTTCGAATTTTGCTTTGGAATGACTTTATTCGCTTGTATGTAATAACTTTTGAGTGTATTTGGTATTGCTGGCCAGTGATGTTTATGAATATGTGAGGAAGGACGAACGACAACTCTGTGGGGTCTGCTCGACGTTGGGCCGACACCACTTGCCTTAGAGGTTGTCCTTATGGTGAAAGGTTACAACCCTCGCTTTGCCCGCGATTTGTCAGGATGACGCGAGAAAGCCTTTTTCGTATGAGGGTAGTGGTTTGCTGGATGCAAAGATGACTCACACAGAGACCAAATTTACAATTTTAACGCGTATATTCGTATGGAAAATCATGCTTACAATGGGTACACAAACATCTGGTCAGAAGGCATCCGTCGCTGAAGAGGAGTTTGCTGGATAGTTTGTTTTCTGATGATATAGGTCAACACACAAATAAAAAGGAGGAGAGAGAAAGTCTGCTTCCAAAAGATCGTGGGTAGAGACTTGGAGATTGGAGGGATGGAGAAGTTGGCACTGGGAAGTCACGTCCCTAGTTCCTTTCCTCCGCTTTTTGGAGATTTTGGGTCGTCTGGGTTAATCTGGATCCGGTCTCTGGAATGGTCATTCTCGATTTCCAGCTCGCAACCTTTTCATGTCTGTCCTTGGGATTTCAAGCTTTTATATCATTTTTACCCGAAATCCTGAGGTTTTGGTTGGTCTGAACAGTGGTCCCCTGTAATTCTATTGGTTCCTGGTTTGTTGCCAGGGATGCGATTTGGGCTGTGGGTCGCCAAACATCCTCGTCCGGGCCGTTCCCCTCCTGAGTCAGGTCAAGCTTTTCCCTGGATGACGGACCCGTAAATTTTACCTAATATATATTTTTCTGTCCAGGAGAAGACACAGCTGTCCCAGCCACTGTCCCCTCCACAGGAGTCCTGCTTTGAACTCTCTGTAAGGTGACTGTCAATTGATCTGGCGGATGATCCCTCTTTCGTTCTCACAATGTACGATCTAGGATCTGTCAATTAGATCTGGAATGTGACGATTAAATTGTCTCGCACCCCATTCCTTGGTCACATCGGTCCTGTTTACGAAATAAGTCACTGATTTATTGGCTTTAGCTTGACAGCCAGTTCCTGTCTGGGGGTGATGTCCCGGCCTCACAAATATACCGGCTAATTTAGAGCTGTTAAGCTGGAGTTTAGACTCAATTGTCACATTAAATAACAATAGGTGAACATCTACCTATGATATTCACCTATTGTAGCCCCAATGGCTGTATTGTGTTTAACACCTAAGCCCATGTGACTGTGCTGGCTTCGAGTAGCCCACTTGACTGTTGTGGAGTACTTGATGTTATATAGTTTTAGGGGGGTATGGGGGCTTGCCCCACCTGGATGCTAAGGTGTGAGCGATGGCCAGCACTGAGCACACACTTACGTGCGAAATGTGGAGGATAGTGGGTAGACTGATACATGTTAAAAATTGATCTTCGGAGACAAATATCATGCAAAAGGCCAATGATTGTGGGGGTGGTGTGATTTATGTAAAAATTACAAAATAAAGCATCAATTTTGCTAAAAAAGTAGTGAAAACAACTGTCACTCCGATAACGTATATACTGCTATTGGGGCTACTTAGGTGAACATTTACCTTACATTGTTGAGGAATGTCGAACAAACATTGGGTGTTGTATGTTTGATTATACTTGTAAACAGGACTGAACTGATATATGACCTTTGTAATCACTCAAAATACCAACTTAAGTCTATGGTAGAGTTTTCCCATGATATTCTTCGAGTATGTGATCTGATCGGTATTTCAAATAGCCAAAGACATTTACTGACCTGGATTTGTCTGATATCTGTGCCAAATTTGATCACATTTATAAAATCCAATGATGATTGAATGTAAAGAAATGAGCTTTGCATGCTCGGCTCAATTATATGATTTATAATTTTAGAGTTTGATCATAAACTCAGAGTTATCAAACTATAATTTTATTGTTTATAAACAGAAAATATTTTTTGAAATTTTGTAATAATCATGCTGACAAGACTTCAATACGTATCATTCAAGATGCCCAAAGAGAATCAATTTTCTTCAGAAGAAGTGACTGAAATTTGGAAATTGAAAGCATGTGGACATGAAAGTCCAAGCAAAACAGGTCATACAGCTTCAGGAATATATAGTTTGGGCAAAAAAATAAAATTTTAAACCAGCAACTAGTTCAGGTAGACTTAAAGTAACATCGCCCACAGATGAAAAATGTATTATTAGACTGGTATCTAGACAAAATTTATCAGTTACACAAGTTTTAAGAGTGTCTAATATAAATATTTCTAAAAATACTGTGCACAGAATAATAAGCAAAAATCTTTGTGTTAAATTAACAAGGATGTGTAAAGAAACCACTTCTCAAACCTGAATATCTTAAAGCAACATTGGAATGAGCCAAAAGCTACATGCAGTGGAAAGATGAATGGTAAGTACACCCTTCAGTGATGAAAAAATAGTGGAACTTAGATGGTCCTGATGGCTGGACTATTTACTATTGGCATGATTGAGAAAAAAAGACTGAGTGTTTTATACCAGACAAGCTGGTGGCTCACGAATTGTTTGGGGAGCATTTGTATTCATTGGAATTTCCAGTCTATCATTTATTTCTGGACACCAGATTTCAGAACATTATCAAGACACCTTAGAACATCTCCTCCTTCCTAAAGCAGAAATGATAGGTGGTCCAAATTGGACATTTCAACAGGACAACGCTCCCATTTATTGTTCAAATTCACCCAAAAAAATGGCTTCAGAATTATGAAATGGCCTGAAAAGAAGTCCTGACCTAAACCAACAGAAAACTTATGGGGGATCATGGCAAGACAGGTGTATGCAGTTAGTTGTTAGTTTTCTAATGTGTTCCAGAACTTACATGTGTAATTGATTCATGGTACAACTTAAAACCAGAATTGTTACAAACTCTGGTGAATTCATGCCAAATTGTGTGATCGATGTTATTAAAAATAATGAAAGCAAAATTAGCTGTTAAAAAATTTTTTTGATGTAAGTTTTGAAATTTACCTAAACTTTTGGGAAAACAATGTTTAGCAAAATTTCTATTTTTGTAAGAATCTTAGTAACTATTAAATTGTTAAATTTATCATTTTTAATGAGATGTATTGTGATCTCATTTCACTTATTAAATCAATTAAAAATTCAGTATTTTAAAATATACTCAAGAAAAATCATTTTACCTAAACTTTTGGGGCATACCTTAGGATGTTTTTTGCTATTGAAGTATTTTTTCAATATCAGTACTAGATGTTGCCTACATTGTCATTGTATACAACTTGAATACTGTAACATCAGATAAGTATCATATTCACTCAATTTTAAAATGCACTTTTTCCAGGTTTTAGTATTTCTGAAAATAGGTTGCTTCTCAGAATTGAAGGCATCTTAAGCCATCAATAACTTGTAACATTAAGTTGTAACATATTGCTCACATGAACTTTAGATTATTGCTCACATGAACTTTAGATTATTGCTCACATGAACTTTAGATTAAATAACAAGCTGTTTGCTTGTTATTTTGACAAATGGAAACCAAGCATTTGAAGCATGCAATATGTGCTCCAGTTTCTTTTAGTTGTGAACAAAATAACAAACTTGCTAGTCACAAGTTCTGTGGCTCAGAACTCTGTCTACACTTATAACCATCAATGGGATTCACTGAAAAACTGATAACAGAATGGATCACCTGCAAGCAACAAGGATACTGACATTCAGCTTATCTGCCTGTCCACACTATGAATGCTCAGTGTTACATTACAGCTGTCTTTAGATTTGAAATAATAGAGAGGTTGAGGCAGACGTTTTAAACGTGTAAACGTGTAGGACGGACGTTCGGTGCCGCTTTCCTGTAAGCCTAGAAGTTTGACGATGGTGTTTGGAATGTCGAGCGTGATTCCACCGACTATCCAAACACCATTGTCAAACTTTTAGGCTTACGGGAAAGCGGCGCCGAACGTCCGACCTACACGTTTAAAACGTCTGCCTCAACCTCTCTAATATATCATAATTAGTAACCTCTAGTGCCATGCATTTTATTCCTCTCACTAATTCTGTTGTCATTTTAATTATTTTATTTGACTAAAGTTATAATAGCAAATGTTAATAGCCCAGTCTCATTAGTCTATTACAATAATGTCTTATGTACTGTACTTGGATAAAGATCCCAGCAGTCTTCTGATGCTTCAAATGACACTGAGGATGAATGAAATGTGAAGATGTGACCATCAAATTCAGTGTGATTCTGAAGAGTCTAATACTGAAAGTGAAGTTTTCTCTCTAATATTACAGAAGACAG